ATGCCTTGTAAAACTGCCACCAGGTAAATTGCACAGATAAAAGACAAAGGGATTAAGTAGTTTTCTGTTACAGACACCAAACACACAAATCAGTCACTTAAACCAAAAGACAGACTTCAGTGATGAGGTCTTTTTACCATTACACTTTTATCTTACCTGAGGATTACTGATTACAGTGAATGCTGTACAAGATAAAGTATTATCATCACTAGTTATTAGACATTTTCAGGGGGGGGGGAGAGGAGGACAACTTTTCAAGAACATTTCTTTTAGCCAACTGAAATATTGCCTCAATGCAATCAAATTATTCAGTGTTTTAAAATCATGGGGTTTTGTGCCAGAGTCTTCATGGGGCTGTAGCAATAGTCCCACTTTACATGTATCCAACGATTCTAGACTATTTTGTTACAACATAATTGCATCGTTTCCCTCTATTTTTAAGTGGACTAAGTGCCCATGGATAGTGCTATATTTACAATATTGGAAATTGAAATCTTCTAACCTCAAAACCAGTGCAGCAGCAGTGAAAGCTTCCCACTAGTTGCCCCAAATCTAAAATGGAGGAACCATCTCTTAGGCCAAAACTCATTTATCTCCAATTTCTCCATGCTAATGCAGTCTATGGATCTCTGAGACTGCTACAAAGGTGAGCACGTGTGCACCAGAAAATAGAGTAAGACCGACTTCTCATTTCACTAGGCCATCAGAGGTGTTGCATGGTAATTACTTTTTAGTTATAAGCAAATCAAATCTAGTCAGAATTGATCCTGTGACCTAGAACCCTAACTTTGCTTTGTAAAATTACAAAAACACAATCTGAGCCTCCAAATCCTTATTCAAGTTGTCTCACTGCAGGCCATAGCGACTGATTACTCAGGAACTACACTAGTTGGGTGAGTAATGCTTAGATGAGTGAGGGGTAGCTGCATTAGTAAAGGGATATTTAGAGAGATGCTGCACTACAAAGGTTTAGAATCACAACGGGTGTTGTTATGCTAAAGAAAGAAATTATGTATTTTCTAGCCTAAACAAAAATTCACACTTCTAAAAATGTAAACACTTAGGCAAACCTCTTCAAAAGTGTCCAGCAATTTTCACTGTGCAGTTTGGCACACAGGGGGTCCTAATTTTCATAGGTGCTTGTCATCTGGCAACACTATTGACTTGAACTAGAATTGTGGACACTCAGCCCCTCAAGCCTTAGACAACTCAAGATGGAAAAATTTGAGTTTCCATTAATTTGGGGGCACTTGACTCTTTTGGAGTTCACTCTACGAGGAGGAGGAGGAGGTGATGAGGTCATAAGCCATACAATTCTGTATTCATCAAAGCAGATTACATATGTAAATAAGAATCTAAACTTGAGAAAATATGTTCAAAGAGAGCACCCTGAATCCTTTTGAACATAATTTAAGACTACAATAATGAGTTTAAATGGATAAGTTGATAGGCCAAAATACACAACGTTTAGTGGTATGATAGCACCTTCAGTAGTTAGATTTATTTTCACAGGCTGACCACTATAGTATCAACAGTGATACACTCCCAGTAATGGCAAGTCTTACCAGAAGCTGTACTCAGTTGGTTCTTAGTAGGAGTAGGAATTCAGTGACTAGATTAAGAAAACTAAAGTGTCCTTTATAACAAATGAAAATAATTTAGGGCCCTCATTCCTTTTCCCCATGGTTCCACATTCTCCTCTCCACCATTTCCAGGCATATTTGTGGGTCAAAGTAGAAAACTTCAGTGAAATAATGGCAGTTAATGAATGTAACCAAGACTATATGAAAGACACTTTGTCTCATGTCCTAACTAGGTCTATAAAGCAATGAAGGGTAATAGATGCTGTTCATTTAACATTAAATTATAAGCTATTTGTGCACACCAAAAGGCCACTTTGTGAAAATCTGATTGCCAAATGGCTGTCTGCCAGCCTTTCAAAAAATTGGAGCTTACTACATTTTGCTGCCTGCTCCTAAAACATTGCAGAGAAATAGATAACAAAAGGAATATGATTCATTTAAATAATATCCCAGTCTTATGAATATCACACAGATTCATCCCTGAGCTAGATCACAGAAGTTAGAACCCCAAAACCCTGAAGGGGTTTTGTGGCTTGTCTGGTTTTGGTTGTCGAGGAAGTGGAAAGGGCTAATAGAAAATGAAATGCATGTGCCACTGTTTTTCAGACTTATTTTGGCTTCTTTAAAATGGATAGGGAAAGACCTATTTTTAATAAGCAGGTCAAGTTCTACTGCTTTCCAAAGATAGCTGAGATACATGGTTGTGCTTATTGATAAGGCTATGAGTTGGTCACGGAGGTCACAGAGTCCGTGATTTTACATGACCTCCGCGACTTAAGTCCTGGGAGACGGGGCTCCAGCTGTCAGCCCCAAGCGGTGGGGCTCTGGCTTCCATGAGTTATTGTTTATTGCCCATGTCCTGTCCCTTACTTTGACTAAAATTACCCATGCCAAAATCTTAGCCTTACTTATCGATTACATGACATATGTAAACCATACCTAGTCTGGCATTTAATAGGAGAATACCTCAAGATATCTTTTTTCTTGTTTTTAATATTATAGCAATAGCATATTTCTATCTATTTTTGGGAGAAAATACAATATTTGTCTAGTTGCATGTGTCCTAAGAGTTTTGTGTTAGGAAGATAAAATTCTTTGATCACTGACTCTTCTGAACTGCATGGAGATGTCAATTTAGAATAAAGACTAGGAGCTAGATTCTACTTTAAATGAGACTGGTGTAAACCCAGAGTGATCACTGAATCCAATCTATACTAATATAACAGAATTTGGCCCTTGATCTCCTATGTAGATGAGAGAGGCAGGAGTGCAATATTTGATTGGAACTTCTGCTTTGGAGATTACACTGATAGTTATTACTAAAGCAATCCACTGTATAACATGCTGTCATACTTCCCTTAAATTGGAAAGGGATAAGCTAAATGTAGTCTCACTCTTAGCTATAAAGGCATTTGTTTACAGCATTTGCGTCAATGATTTATACCCACATAATAAAATATTAAGAGCAGCAAATTATAAATCTGGTACTACAACAGTTCTGACAGGTTTTCTGATAGTATACAGTTTAACATGCAAATTTAAATCTACCAGAAACAATGCAGAAATAGTGTTTATTGCATTACATAAAATAAGATGTAGATGCTTTCATTTATATAACTGTAATATGCATATATATGAACTTCTAGGATAAAACGCCAGTCTTCATTATAGCTTGTACAAAATATAAAGTACAACTAAAATGAAGCATTCTACTCTCTCCCAGTGCACTACTGACAAACTCTATATCCTGTCAATAATTCTGCATTTTGCTAACTTATTGGTCCTTTCAATAATAAAGAATTACTGAAACAAAATTCCACTGCAGCAATTTTGAATGAACAGATGAAAACCACAAGCAACGGGAAACAATTTTTCATCAGTTACCTCTAAATATCAGGTCAAATCTATGGTTAAATCCACTGCTTTAGTTATTTATGTTGAGAGGAACCATGTAATAATAATATCAAATCAGCAAAGGCAACTTTGTAGGGATAACAACCAATGTCAAATAAAACAAAGCCTAAGCATCATTAGACAAAACATGGGGATATAACTATACAGTCAAACTGTACTGATCCTCTCAACCTTGCCCACCAAATACATTCCCCTAGCCTGGCAGAGGAAAGAAACCCATTTGCCTAATGGGGCATATAATTTAAATATTTCAGACAACCATTTACAGAGATGTTGCTTAAAATAAATTTAACAACCATCCATCTAAATATCTTGCATTATTGGGATCATAACGTAGATCACAAGTTGTTTTCCTGTAGAAACTATGAATTATCCAGCCTTCCAATTTCTTCAGACATCATACATATGCAGTGCTAGTTTAATATAACAAATCCTAATTTGCTCCAAAGCAGACTCAATATGAAACTGCATTTTTTCCTTATTCCAGTTTCTTCTAACATTTTTTAGAGACAGTAAAATGTCAGGTTCCATTCCTCCACAATACAGAATGTCTACAGTTTTGTAAGTAAGATATCTCTTTAAATCAATAGAAGCTGAAATAGGTGCAGACTGCAGCACTGCATCCAGAGGAAGATACAACCAGCCAATGTCAATATTCTGTCACTTGGGATCAGGAATTTTACCATAAAAAATCCTCACTACATTAAGGAAAAAAATATGTATCCACCAATTTGTAGAGGTCATGCAGTCAATGTTTGAAAAAAATAAACATCATTGGAACATGAAGTGACATGACTTGTGCAAAATTCAGCTTAGTATTTTTTTTTAACATGTTAAGAACAAAAACTGGAGTTCACCATAATTAGGCACAAAAGTACATTATAAAAACTGAGAAATAAATGTTTTAGAAGAATCCAGCTAATACAATACAATATAGGAAAAGAGATGGTCTCTGCCTTTTATATGCTTGATCTGAACATTTTAAAGAGTTGCTCAAGTTTTGGAAACATTAGCTTATAACTATGCAAAGTAATACGGCAGAGAAAAATGCAAAGTAAAAATAATTCCTTTGGCTGGTAAGATTGTAAGAGGATTTAATCATTTCACAATTTAAAATAAAAAGGTTAGTTTTGCTTGCTCTTTGCTACAAAGCAAGAGGCTCATCTCCTATGCACGCCACAAATAACCTGAGCAATGACTTCCCTCTATGACAAGAGCTGCCTATCATATTGCAGAATTAACACAGTATTAGTTTATTTACCGTTTGCATGTGTGTGTGGTGGCTATTTGTAATTTTAGCAATTCACATAGATCAGCTCCTCGCTGTATATCACAGGACAAACAAATATGTATTATTTCAAGCCTGAACTGCAACCTTAAGCAAACAAAGCTAGTCTGCAACCCTGATGCAAAGTCATCCTAAATTCTCTTCACCCTACAAGATCTGTGATACAAGACTGTGATACAGTCCATTCACTCCCCCAAGCCCAATGATCTGCTCACCATCTCTTCTTCTATTTCTGTCCTCAGCTTATCTTCCTTGCCTCTTCTGGCTTCACAGGATCACAAGGAAGAGGGTGTACCAAAAAAACAAACAAACAAACCCTCTTAAATAAAATACTCAGCAACTGATCGGCAGTAGATCAACCAACCTCTTCCTCTCTCCCTTTTCATTTTCCAGAAACAGAAAATATCTCTAAGATCACCACTGCCTGCTACTCACTCATTCCCCGACCCCAGAGAAAACGCTGTAGGTGCATTCGATTTAAATTGCATTTCCTTCCATCCCCCAACTCATAAATTCCTCTCCAGAGATCACAATGGGTACGTCGGATTCAGATTCAATTCCCTTCTTACCCACCAAGCCAACGTACTAGATGCATCCGACTCGGGCTGAATTTCCTCCCTCCCACCTCTAAATTTCTCCCTCTTCATTTACAAAGGGTATTCAAGAAAACCTCTTTATCGAAAGAAAGGGAGGAAAGAGAAGGAGTGTTTAACCCTTTTTTGCATTTACCTTTTTTGCTGCTTTTCTTTTTAAAAAACACAGTTAAGATTCCTTCTTTTTAAAAGACAAATAAACTTGCTGCCATTATCTTTCTATAGGGTCTTCCACTCCCACATCCAGGGTCTGGCGCTCTTCATCTCTCACGGAGAAACAACCTTCCTTATAGTCCTCCCCAAAAGTCTACTTCCCCCCCCAAAAAAGAGGTTGAGGAATAATGTATTTTTAAAGGGTTTTGTGCACACACACACCCTTAGGGCTTACATTTAAACAGTCAACTGTAAAGTTTGTATAACGCCTAATTTCCCCACGCCCTTTTAAAAAGACCCTCGATAAGATGCCCACCAGAGACGCAGTTGGATCTTGTAACTTAGCGTGTACTGTTATTCATCCTTCCAACTCTATTACAGGGTGGGGGCGTTAATCCTTTCTTATCAGTAAAACTTTGGTGGGGGGTAAAAATACTGAGTGATGGAAACAGGAATTCAGGTTTCCCCTCCCTCCTTTAAGGACAGCAAGGCTGATTAGTGTGTCTGTGCTGGGAGCAGAGGAGATAGGGGTGGAAAATAGCTGAATTGTGCTCCAAATCCAGAAAATGGTCCTGCCACTGCTGCTTCTTGCCCCCTAGTTCGCAGCTGTCCGTCTGCAGTCAGCAAACAAAACGACGCAGTCCTCGCTAGCCATGATTTTTCCCATTGGGCATCTTTGTTTTGTTAAACCCAGCAACGACTATCTCATTGGTGAAGTTCCTCTAGTCTGGTCACTGGCTGCTAGCGCAGTTTGGCATTGGACAGCATGAGTGTCCGTCAAAGTGGAATTAACCTCCCCTAGGAGTGAGAGAGAAGTTCACTGGTCCCATTCCGTTTAGGAATACATTATGATTTAATGCTTTTAATTTGTTTAATCACTTGAAATACGATGGTGATTAACAAAAGATCAAAACAGAACATGGTATTAAAAATCCTTCTGAAACACCATAGATTTGCACTTTGCAGATTCTAAAGCACATGTAACAAACTGAAAAGGAAACATGACATCCGGACAGCAAGAACTTTTAGCCCCAAAGTCCAAGCAGCCAAACAAACAGGAGCCTGATCATGCATTCAGATATCCCAAATCTGCATTGATTTCAATGAAAGACTTGAGTGCCAAGATATAGGATTGGGTTGTGCAAGGATTTATGGCACCAGCATAATACATAAACTCAGCATCACTAAGTCCAAGCATTCAAATATTTAGAGGGGCCAAAAATCAGTCTTTTAAAAATTTATGATTTTTAAACAAATTTATGATTGTTTGCCCTTTTTTGTTAAGCCTTTAAATTTCACTTATCACATCTTCGGGTTTTTCCTCAATCTGACACCCCCTGAAAATCAGGCCCTTTTTTCCTGTTGTCAAACTGAGCAACCCAAAATGGAGGTACCCAAAATCACTAATCACCTCTGAAAATCTCAGTCTTCTTGACAAAACCCTTGTGAGATACAACAGTGTAATTATAACTTTGCCGATGGGTAAACTCTGTAGTAAATAATGGGCCTGATTCTGTAAGAGCCCTCTGCCTGGAATTTCCCTTGGCTTCAGTAGGACTTATGTACATAGTGCTTGTAGGATCTAGCTAACCAAACCATCAGTGTCAAGTGACATATTCAGCAGAAGCCTCACAACAGCCTATAGGCCATGTCTTCTCTAAATCACAGTTGTGTGAAACATTTCCCCTCACATTCACAATTATGTAACCCTGTTGTGGCTATAATTTTCCATATAGGCAGTTACTGTAAAATTAGGAAAGTATAATGTATTCTTTTAGCTCTTTTAATGTAATGAAACATCTAGAAATAATCAGAAAGAGCCAGTACCATGTGACCATTCAGTTCTGTAGACAACCAGCAAGTGCTTCACAGACCACCAGTGGCCTATGAACCCCTTTCTCAGAATCTCTACCACTTCTTTCACTGAATGCACTCAAAACAAACACGTGATCAGTATCCACTTGAGAATGGACTATTGTAATTTGGTTAATAATAGAAGCTACATGCAGTTCCTCAAAAGATGGAGGTTAACAAAGGACATAATAGCAACTAGGGCTTTTGAGGGAGAAAAGAAAATACTATAGGCACAGGAAGTAGAAGCAGGGGATTAAATGGGCAATAGCCCCACTAAATCTAGTAGGGTGACCAGACGTCCTGATTTTATAGGGATATTTTGGGGTCTTTTTCTTATATATGCTCCCATTTCCCTCCACCCCCATCCTGATTTTTCACATTTGCTGTCTGGTCACCCTAAAATCTAGCTACCCCTTAATGGTCTGCTTTTGGGAAACCTCCTTAAACAAAGTCTTCAAATGCCACAGTAAAACTAATGAAAGGTTTCAGAGTAGCAGCCGTGTTAGTCTGTATCCGCAAAAAGAAGAACAGGAGGACTTGTGGCACCTTAGAGACTAACAAATTTATTAGAGCATCCGAAGAAGTGGGCTGTAGTCCACGAAAGCTTATGCTCTAAT